TATATATTAGCAATTTAATTAGTTAAAACTATTGAGTTTGTTCTTCAAAATTTTATAATATTCGAAAAGTGTATATTTAAATTCGTTCTGTTCAGTTGCATTTACGAATTAAAATTAGTTAACAGTAGTAAACTTGTTTAGAAGATAAAAGATCTGTCTAAAGTCTAAACAATGGATGAGTGGCTCCACTCACAGAGAGATAACGTTTTTGAACTAGACTTGTACTGAAACTTCCAACACGTATACGTGGACGGCATACTATCCAGAAACATTGAGATTTTTGGATATTTTAATGAAAAAACCTAAAAATTAATTTGAGGAAAAGGGGAAAATCTGGAAGAGCTGATTAATTATGTGGTCTCCTCTGTCTACACAACGGAGAGATCCAACCGAAAGTGAATATTACTCAACCGACTCTGCGTCGCTACCCGCCTTTGTTGTTTAATTTGTTTGTACATGTAATAATGACATATATCTTCATTTTAATTTTGTTTATAAAAAAAAATTAAATCATTCATTTAAGCGAGCTTTCCATTTGTACAACTTTTCTCAAGCGACAAGTTCTTCTTTAATAGATCCTGATTTTTTATTTTTTATTTTTTGTTACAAGTTAACCCTTTGTTTAATTAATTGGATGGGATGATGATGAAGATGGGAAATGAAAGAGGAGACTCTAATTAATTTAATTCTAAATATATATAAAGGGATTACGGAATTTTAATAAGAGGAAGATCTAAATTAAATGGGTGAGAAAACCAATTAAATATTTTTAACCCCAATTTTCCATTGTTAAAAATCAAACTTATTAGAGTCTCTTATTGTTAATCCATCGTGAATTACGGTCAAAGATATTATCGCACCAGTCACGCGACTTTATCCTTCTCTCTCTCTCTCTCTCTCTCTCTCTCTCATATTTCTGCCTCACTTTTTTGTTTTTTTTATCTTCCTCACGTTTCTCCATAAACTTTGCTGACTTCTTCCACTTTTTCTTTCAATGACTTGATGTTGATAGAGATGGATAACGGGCAGCCCCTTACAAATGAGCTCAGCTTTTAACGGCTTAGGTTTTTCAAAAAAGATAATCGGTTTCTAAAACCTGACCCTCATTTGAAGATGTTAAGATCGTGCTCATCAGTCTATTTTATTTTTAAAAAAATTTAAAAAATAAAAAATATAATAAAATAAATAAATATAAATCAAGATATAGAATTTTGATCAAGCTAGTCTTAAAATGAAAACAAAAGTTTTCAATTTAAAATAACCTTATTAAATTTGATAAATACAAAAACTTATGTATTACAAAATACAACATTAATCAAAATGAAAAAATAAATCTTGCAAATTAATCATGTTTAAGAAATTAGTAAAAAAAAAGCTAAATTATATCAAAATAAATGATAAAAGAGCTAACATCAATCATCTTCATATCACAATGCTTGAAGTGATTCATTTTTAATTTTAGGTACTCTTCTATAGTTTTAGAAATATATTAAGTGAAATAAAAATGGCAGTTTCAAAAAAAATAAAGAAACAAAAAGAAAGAAAAAGAAAATAGAAGCAAAAGTTGAAAAATAAAAGGTGGGGGAAAAAATAATGACCACTCACAGCAAATCTAAATTCATCTTTCTCTTTTATATTCTGATGACACTAGGTAGAGGCGCCTTAACATCATGATAGAGGCAAGATTGAGACAAAGGCTGAGACAGAGGCAAAAGGGAGGAAGCTAAGATCATGAGGAGAGATCGAGAGGGAAAGCAAATTGTAAAACTGTGTAAAGGAAAGCACTGTGATCAAGCACCCACAATGTCACTTGAAATCAAGAATTAAAAATTACAAGACAAGAGGTGAGAGCATTGTGAGTCCTCTATTGTGATTGAGAGGTCGAGAGGAAGAGCAGATCTCTATAGAGTCAGAGTGTGTAGCATAAGTGCACGTAGGATTTTCTTTCAAGTGTCAAGTTAAACAATGCGTTTGAAATGAGGGAAAGAAGAAAAGGAGAATAGCTGAATAGGAAGCTTGGAGGCCACTTGAGCCCATGCTCTTTTCTGAGAGTCTATTAGAGCCCGATATTAAGCTCAAATTCTTAAAAACACCCTAATTTTTTAACTTCAAATCTTTATTCCCAACTCTTTGATGCTGCTCGCTCTTTACTCACTTTTTTTTTCTCATAGTCCTGATTCATTTTAAAATATATGTTGTGTTTTTCAAACATTTAAAATTATCTATTCCTCCTATATTACATTCCATTTTTTTATTTTTTATCTAAACAATAATTGAAATCTTTTCCTCATCACTTTCAAATTTTCTATCAACATAATTAACTTTTTAAATATAAAATAAGCGTCTCTTTCGACGAAAAAATTATTCTGATCAATTTATTATGATATTGATATAAAATATAAAATTTATAATAAATATCATTATTTCTGAATAGTGAATATCATATTCTTTACAATGCACGGAGGCCGCTTAGTTAACCACCAAATCATAAAATCTTGTTCTAATATAACATCAACTTCGTTTTCTGATTATATTAGTAATAAAATTCCAATATTAAAGCACACAAAATGTTGGCTGTTTACGTAAAATGAGTTGGAAGTTTATCATATAGATAATTTTTATCGCAATATTTTTTTCTGGCCTAAGTTAATATTACAAGGATTAAATGTCATTTTTAAAACCAAAAAAATCTAGTTATTATGATTTAATCAAATAAAAATTTGGCCAAGAAAAAATAAAACAAAAGAAATTATTGCATAATTCGACCGGCATGTTAGTAGGGTCATTATAGGTAAGGTATTGAAAATTAAATCGGTCATTAAACCAATCAAGTCAACAGGTTACAGGTTAATGGTTTAACTTAGGGTTGAATTAGGGTTCAACTTGGAGGACAAATCGATCATAATTAAAATAATATAATTTAAATAAAAAGACATCAATTATGAAAATATTTAAGCAAATTCAAGACTAATCTCTAATATAAGATACAAATACAACAATAATTACAGAATTATATCCTCCAAAAATCTAACAATAATAAAATACAACTTTCTAAATCTTCATTCTTACAATTACAATTTACCACCCTTTAATCATTAAAAAATCCAAAACTAATTATCACTAACATTAAAATCATTAACAATGACAGTCATAATTTATAAATGTTAAGCAACAATCAGACAAATGAACAACAATAAATAATAAAAAATTAAAACAATTAAGGCACAATTAACTTAAAAGAATATTAAATTTTTTAAATTCAAACTTACAATTAAGGCCTTCTATTTGAAGTTCAAACTACAAACAGTGAAATCTAGTTTGATGCCCTTCATTGCTTCGCTTTTTTAATTTTCAAGCTGAATTTTTTACTTTTTATTTAGTTTTTATAATTTTTTTAAAAAATAAAAACAAAAAAATTAAAAAAGTGATCCGTTGACCCAATAACCTGATAACCGAGTCAGCCAAGTTATCCTGAATTGACCCTAGATCACATTGGGTCAATAGCTGATTAGATAGAAATTTAAACTAAAAAAGAGATGGTGTTATCAATTCACAGGATCGGTTCAATTTAAATTTCCATACAATAATTACAGGAGACTTGGGAGGATTCATGAAGACTAGTCGCATCATCATTTGTAGCTTCACGCCTTAATTACCACTGTTCCCGTATTCAACCAAACATTAAAAAAAAAAATCTCTTTTCTTTTCTCATGATTTTTTTTTTAATTTAAGTTGTGAACCTGTGAGGATTAGTTTTCCCAGCAATACATATTTTATTTTTATTCTCTTTCTGACATGAATATCAAACTTTGTCAGTGTAATGCGCAAGGGTATTCTGTAGGCTGTAATATTGTGGTTAATTAGAAGTTGGTAAAATGTGTGCGTAGATACTAGCCTTGGTCAGCAACTTTCAACATTTTTACTAAAACTAAAAAAAAATTTAAACAATTTTTTAAATTTATTCCTATTAAATATATATATTTTAAAAATAAAATATTTAAGTATTTAATAACATTGTCAATGTTTAATAAAGGTAAAATGATAAAGATAAAATAATATTGATTGAAGTGCCCTATATTCTCTTTACTTTATAAATAAAATTAAATGAGTATACGTTGATGTTAATCAAATATTTAATTACTTTGACCTTTCAAGTTTAAATGTAAGAGCTATATATCTCTCCGATCCCTACTATATAGCACTTTCTATGAGAAGTCTTTGGTTTTTAATATTGACATGTGGAGGGTTTTTTTTTTTTTTAACTATCTTTCAATTTTTAACCCTATTTTAAATTTAATTTTATAGCTCATCCTACATTATAAATTTTTCTTACTATTTTTAATAAGAATAAAGTTGAATTTCTTTTTTTCATTTTAAAACATATTTAATGAGTCAAGATATATTGTATGCCACTAAAACAAACTTTTCAATTAACTCTTATATTTAAGATTAGATTGAGTTTACCAAAACATGTCAGTATGAAATTTATTATTTTAATATCTACTCACCACCTATTCTGATAACGACTCGCTTTTAACTGTCATACCCATTTTCATGCCATTTATTTTTATCCATATATCTTTGTAAAGTTATAACAAACCGCGTTGGCAAAAAAATTATAACAAAGCGTAATTTTCAAAATAATATTATTTATATTTCGAAACAACAAGTGCATTCATTATAAAAAATAAATAAATAAGGTAATCAAATTTTTTAATAAAAAATATCACATTTGGAAAGGAAAATACGTTCCTTTTCTTTTGTTATAATGTTATCTCCGTGTGAATAGCGAGTTCGAAATAAAATAACTTTTTCTTTTTGACATTTTGTATATCTCGTTTGAGAGGAAAATGGAGAACGTAAAGGATATACAGGGACCCAGACTTTAAAAGAATGCAAGAAGATCATTGATGGCCGACGAAGAGAGCGGGAAAATGGCCAATAGGTCGTCGACATGATCCACCCCATCGCTTATTATAAATATCTATGTATCCCCACCCTATTTCTCCCATCCCATCAACCTCCACATTCACTTTCTTCATCAACTTCGTCTTCTTCATCACTCTTTTACACTATTCCTTACTTTCATCACTTCATCATCATCCTCCATGGCTGAAGAGAAGCACCACCGCGGCCTCTTCCACCACAAAAAGGACGACGACGACAAGCCACTTGACTCCTCCTACTCCGACACCGCTTACGGTGGCGACAAGCCTTCCTCTTACTCCTCCGACAAACCCTCCGGTGGCTACGGCAACACTGACTCTGGCTACAACAAGACAGGCTACTCCGCGGATGAGCCATCCGGTGGCTACAAGAGCGGCGGCGGCTACGGAGGCACCGGAGGTGGGTACGGTGAGACTGAGAAGGTTGAGGGATACGGCGGTGGTGCCGGTGGATACTCCGACAGTACCACTGGAGGTGGGTACGGCGAGACCGAGAAGGTAGGTGGATACGGAGGCGGTGCCGGTGGATATTCTGACAGTACTACTGGCGGAGGGTACGGTGAAACTGAGAAAGTTGCTGGGTATGGAGGTGCTGGTGGATACTCTGAGAAGACCAGCGGTGGTGGGTACGGTGAGAATGAGAAAACCGGTGGGTACGGTGGAGGTGGCAAAGCTGGGTACGGCGGCGAGAGTGAGAAATCTGAGGTTGACTACGAGAAGGAAGAGAAGCACCACAAGCATCTTGAGCAGCTCGGAGGGCTTGGTGCTGCTGCCGCCGGTGCTTATGCCTTGGTACGTAACTAATCTTCTCTTCGCTTATAATCAATTTCATAAAGTTTCAATTTTAAATTTGCTTTTACATATACTATAACTCATTTCGCAAATTTTATATGTTATATGAGACAAACACGCGCACTAGTTGAATCATAAAAAGTATTAAGATCTGTCCAGGACCATATTTGGTATTGCTTATAACTCAATAAAAATTACACTAACGATTCTTATTAAAAACACCAATAATTAATTTTCTCTAAATTGATCAGAGTACTCCGATCAGTTTGCATCTCGTAATATGGGTATTAATATTAATGAATATGTGAGGGATTATATTAGTTAAAAGAAATCGGAATTGACTCTGACTTGCTGTGTAAAATGGTGATCTCTGTGACAGTATGAGAAGCATAAGGCCGATAAGGACCCAGAAAATGCTCACAAGCACAGAATAGCAGAGGAGGTTGCGGCCGTGGCGGCAGTCGGAGCCGGCGGATTTGCTTTCCATGAACATCATGAGAAGAAGGAAGCAAAGGAACAGGCCAAGGAACAAGACGGGGAAACTCATGAAAAGAAGCATCACCATCTCTTTGGCTGATCAATTATATACACACATATATATGGGTCGTCTTCTATAAATTGGTGTTGTTGGATCTGCTTCTGGCTTTTCTCTTATCTGTGTCTGTGTATCTTTATGTATCTTCTCACTTTACTTCGCTCCGCCATTTGCCCCTGAATAACCCCATCTTGTGTGAGTTCGTGGATTGCTTTTATTACTGGTGCTTTCTCATGTCCCTATTTTCATCTACGCATGTTATACTTGTCGTTTCAATATAATATAATTATTACTTTTGAGTTACTGTATGTGGGATCACTTTTAACTTTTATAAACACGTATACAAATATTTCATCCACTCATATTCGAGTTCAATTAGGATAGCTCTCAAATTCTTTTTTTCCCCCTCCATTCACTCAAACTTGAGACTCATGTTTAAGCTAGTGGTTATGATCCCTTTCTTTAATTTAAAATCAAGACCAATTGATATCACTTTTATTCTATGTCATTTACACATACATAAAAACAAAACTCATGAGAATGTTTTCTGTTTTAACTTGAAACGGATGAAGCATGAACCAAGAAAGGATTTGGAGTAGGAGCAATATATATGTGGTATCATGTATATCCAAGCCAACCCAACCCCACCCAAAAAAATGGGAAAAATTAGTTAGAGAGAAAGAAAGAAAGAAAATTGTTTATCCATGTTGGTGTGCTACATGTAATATTTTTAAAAGTTATATAGAATAGCACCATTTTAATTAATAGTAGCAGATCGACGAAGATGGGGGGACCACGTCTGATGTATTGAATCAAGATGACAGGACGAGATGTTCCAGCCATGTTAATAGCCATCAAGTTAGAATTAGTTATAATTAAGGAGGATGAAATTGAAAATTATATATAATATAAAGCTTCCATAAATGTATGGATGGCCAAAAAATCAACAAAAGACATTATGTCCATGTGGCTCCATAAAGTCACGCGTTTATATATTATTTTGAGGGTCATTAAGTTTTTAATAACGTGCGCGCGCGCGCTCAATTTTAATCATCTATCTCTGAATAATATTGCAGCATTGCCCCATTGCGACACTTATGACAGCAAGCATATTGTTGAGTGGTAGTGGACTAACTTGTCACACTATACCATAATGTGAATATAGATTCATAATCTGACTAATACTTTGCATTAAGTTGAAAAAGGGCTGCACATGCCTATTTATACAAGATAAACTAAGGCTAAATGACAATACAAAATAACAAAAATGACAGAGTATGTTGTACAAGAACTATACAAATAAAAACCTAAAAGACATCATTTATTCTCAATACTCCCCCTCAAATTGAAACTATGTAAATCAATAGTTCTAAACTTGCTAAGAAACTCATCATGAGATTTTTTACCCTAATGCCTTGGTCAATATATCTGCTTCTTGGTTTGCAAAACACACATGATGGAGAGAAATCATTTTTTGCTGTAACTTCGTGATAAAATGGCAATCTATCTCTATGTACTTGGTTTGTTCATGAAAAACAGGGTTATTAGTTGTATGAATAGTTGCCTTAATATTCCAATGAACTTGCATATGCATTAGCTTATGTAATCCCAAATTCTTCATTAGTATTAATACCCAAGCTATCTTAGAAACAAAAGCACTAAGATCTCTGTACTTAGTCTCAACTAATGATTTGGATACAATGCCCTGCTTCTTTGTCTTCTAAGAGATTAAGGAGTCTCTTAGCTTCAACAAATAACTAGAGATTGACCTCTTAGTGGTATTACACGCTACCTCATTTGAGTCACAAAATGAACTATTTTTTGAACTTAAAAGTCTTCCCAAGCCTAGGTTTTCTTTTAAATATCTCATCACATTCTTAGCCATTGCCATTTGTGTTTTTATTGAAGCTTGCACAAACTAGTTAAGGTGCTGCACAGAAAAGGAATGTGAGGACGTATCATTATCAAGCTTACTAATGAGTCTTCTATACTTCCCTAGGTCTTCTAATAGTTCCTCTTTCTTGTTTTTACCTTCTTCATATTTTGTAAGCTTTAAATTCTACACCATAGGCAATGGCGATGCCAAGACCCGGGGTCAAGGGGTGCAACATTTTTAAAATTAATAATTTAAAAATACTTTAATATTTTTTTAAAAAAGAAAGCACATATCTTACTATTATACCTTGCACATCTTCATGTTTTGGAATCATTCAATAATCATTTCATTTTTGATGTTAAAGAAAATATCTTTTTTAATATAAGTCACTAGACAATTATTCATTAATGGATCTCCCATACGATTATGTAATCGATATTTTACAAACTTCAAACAAAAAGGACTCTTTCTACCATTATTGTGGCAATCAATAATATCGTTGCTAACTTTAAGAAAGTATAAACTAGGGGATAAATTATATGTCTTCTTATTTTTGCCAATTTTTTGCAAGACTACCAATTCCTTTTTATGATGCAAATTAAGTATTGGTTCACATATGAATGATATAAGTCTCAAGTTGATTATCAAGTATCATTAAATCAGAGGAAGAAAACTCACATGAATAAAACTTAACAAATTCAATTAACCTTTCCTTATCAAAATTTTGAGTTAAATTTTTTTGACCTTCAACTGAACATATTTAAAATTTTTTTTGGAACCCAAATATCTTTAAAGTTAAGTTATGGGATGTAAAATATTTAAATCAATGGTGCAAAATGGTGAAACATATAACCCTTCATTATAACTTTCTTCAAGTCTAAGGGGTACATTTGCCCCCTTGAACTTAATGTAGCACTGCCTATGGCCATAGGTACTGATATTGGTTTACAACCACTCATCCTTATTTCAAACAACAGATCCAACACATATTTCTTTTGATTCATGACAATTCCCTTTTGGGATCTTGCCTCTTTGATTCCCAAAAAATATTTTAATAAATCAAGATTTTTTTTATTTAGACTTGCTATGTAGAAACTCTTTAATCTGTTTAATTCCATTTTTAGAACTACTAGTGATTAATTAGTTATCTACATAAACAAGAATTAATACCACACCATTATGAAAATATTTAACAAACAAAGAATAATCATACATGTTTTGACTAAAGCCCTTTTCTCTTAAAGCTTGTGTTAGCTTATGATTCCACTATTGAGATGCTTGTTTTAAGCTATACAATGATTTATTAAGCTTGCATGTGTTATTCTTACTCTCCCTCTTACCAACAAGACCTAGAGGAATGGTCATGTACTCCCTCATTCAAATCTCCTTGTAAAAATGCATTGTAGACATCCACTTTGTGTAAAATCTAATTTTATTGTGTAGTTAAGGATAAAACAATTCTAACAATAACCATATTCATAATAGAGGAAAATGTTTCTTAATAGTCAACCCCCTTTGACTGTAACCCTTTGCTACTGACCTAACCTTGTATTTCCCAGCACTTCTATCGGCCTTATGTTTGATTTCATACACCCATTTACAACCTACGGGCTTCCTTCCCTTTGGTAAATCTACAATCTTTCAAGTTTTATTATCGTTTTGGGCTTTGAGTTCACTATTCATAGCCTTTACCCATTTTCTATCCTTAATGGCCTCTTTATAGCTTTTAGGTTCCGTATCAGAATCAATAGAGGAGAGATAGCATTGATGTGAAGCAGATACAAATTCATAAGGCACTTGCAATTGTATTGGATATTTAATGGTGTATATGTGTCACATGCAAAATAAACATAATCTTTAGCCTGTACAGGTTGTTTCTTTTCCCTTACAAGCCTAATTCTATGTCGTTCCTAATTACTACATTCAGTTATGTCATCATTCCTTATCTCAGGTAGTTCTCTTAGGTCATTCATATTAGGTAGTTTGTCCTCAACAGATTTAGCATTAATAGAATTATTATTCTCATTTCTAAGTCTGACCTGCTTAGGTTCATACTAGAATATCATCAAAAGATTTAACATTATTAGTCTGACTAACCACAACAATATCTTTATAGGAAATGTATTCTCAACAAACTTAACATGTCTATTAACAAAAATTCATTTTGTTTTCAAATCAAGCAAGATAAATCCTTTTTGATTATTAGGATAACCTAAGAAAATACAAGGAATAGACCTAGACTAAAATTTATTTGTGACATTTAAATTTGTGAAAAATGCAAGTAATCTAAAAATTCTTAAATTATCAAAATTAGGTGGCTTTCCATAAACAACCTCATATGGAGTTCTAAACTGTAAAAATCTAGAAGGGGTGTGGCTTATCAAGTAATCTTCCATTCTAACACTCTCCCTAATATTGAATAGGTAAGGCAAATTGGGATATGAGACACCTAGAGACTTGTATCAAGCTCTTATGTTTGCGATCAACTGCCCCATTTTGCTCAGGAATATATGGGCATGTAGTTTCATATATGATTCCCTTACCCTCAAGTATATTTCTTAGTTCATTATTCAAGAATTTTTTTCCATTATCAATTCTAATCCTTCTAACATGAACATTAAATTCATTTAGAACAGAGGCAAGAAAATTCTTAATACTACTCATAGTTTTTATCTTATTTTATAACAAAAACACCTAAGTAGCTTGCCAAAAATCATCCACAACAGTGAGGAAATGTTGGTGACCTTAGTGTGTGGGTATTCTAAAAGGTCCCTACACATCCATATGCAACAACTCAAAGCAAAATGTAGATTTTATAGAACTAGAATAAAAGGAAATCTTAGTTTGCTTGGACTTCAAATAAGTCTTTACTTTCAATATTCAAGCGAACATCATTTTTCAATAAGGGAAAATAACTCATTACAAGAAGTGAAAGGTGGCTTAATCTATAGTGCCACAACTAAAGTTCACTTGATTCTTTTATTACATTAGAATTTTTAGCAACATCAACAAGATGGTTACTAATAGTCAAAATGTATAAACCTTTCACAACTTTACTAGTCACTTTCATCTTGCCACCTTGAAGGTCTTGCATTACATATAGATTAGAAAAAAATGCAACCATACAGTGTTCTTCTTTAGTAAGTCTAGGAATAGATATTACATTGAAACAAAGCTCAACTGTATATAAAACATTCCTTAAGGAAATTCCATTTGAAAGACTAATATCTCCTACATGTGTTATGGGTACTCTTTATCCATTTAGATTTTGATGGTTTTAATAGGACCAATATATTTTCTATAAGAATCTAAAAACTGTAAGTCACTCACCATGTGAGAAGTAGCACCAGAGTCAAGTATCTAATTAGTTTTAATCTTAAAAGAAGAATTATGCAAACTTATATTGATGAGTGCGTGGACCGTTAGT